AGAGTTATTCCTTCATTGTTTCTAGCAACTTCAAGCCCAAGGAAATATCTGAGTGGTCCCAACTCTTTCATTTTGAATTTCTAATTTAAGCTGTATATGAGATCTTTGACAGCATTATCATTATTACTTGCAATTACAATATCATCGACATAAATTAAGAGGGCAATGAAAATATCTCCATAATTTTTTACAAGTAGTGAATGGTCACATTGTGACTGAGAAAAACCTTTTTGAGTCAGGGCTGTGGAAAATTTATGGAACCATTGTCGCGAAGCTTGTTTCAATCCACAAATAGACTTGTGTAATCGACATACAGCATTCGGTGGAACGTCTCCCCCTCTCGAGGAGAATAGCCTAGAGGAAGAGTCATGTATACTTCTTCATGCAGATCCCCATGAAGGAAAGCATTAGTGACATCTAACTGTGTGAGACTCCAGTGGAAGATAGTAGCCAGAGATAATAAGGTCCTGACAGTGACCGGTTTTGCAACCGATGAGAAAGTGTCAAGGAAATCAATTCCAAACTGTTAAATATACCCTTTTGCAACCAGTCGTGTCTTATGTCTTTCAATCTGTCCATAAGCTTGATGCTTGATTTTATAAACTCACTTACAATCAACAGGTTTCTTTTCAGGTGGTAAAAATACAACTGTCCAGGTATGATTATTGTCAAAAGCACGCAACTCTGTGTGCATGACATCTTGCCAAATTGGCATCCGGATTGCCTCAAAAAAACTCTGGGGTTTAGTGTGTGAAGAAATAGAGCATATATAAGAGTGATATTGTGGTGTAAGCTTATCATATGTAAGAAAAGTGGAAATATGATGGTGTGTGCAAGAGGTGTGGTAGCTGTGATAGTCAGACATGTAGGAAAGAGGTTTACTCTGGTGCTGAGGACAAGAAGTGGTGGAGGAATGAGATGAGATGGCTGGAGAAGAAATATGAGGAGAGTGATCAGTATCTTGTGGAAGAGGTATGACACGATCATGAAAAAAATCAGACGAAATATTATCTGGCCGATGATGGAAAAAAGGAAAAATTGTCTCATGGAAAACTACATGACGAGAAATGTGGATCTAATTACTTTCGAGATTAAGAAGTTTATAGCCTTTGTATCCAAATGGGTATCCAAGGAAGACACAAGCACGTGCTCGAGGTGAAAATTTATGTCGCTGGTGTATAAGTGCGGAACTATAGCATAAATATCTAAAAGAGCACAAATGATTATAAGAGGGCTTCCACTTATTTAAAAGTTCGAAATGAGTTTTATTAGAAAGTAAAGGAGAAGGGAGGCGATTAATGATATAAACGACAGTTAAGATACAATCACCCCAATAAACAAGTGGAATATTGGATTGAAAAAGAAGAGCACATGCAACATTCAAAATGTGTTGGTGTTTACATTCCATAACAGAATTTTGTTGTGGAGTTTCAACACAAGAATGATAGGGAAGAATGCCTTTAGACTTAAAAAACGAGTGAAAACTTAACTTGTGTGCATTGTCGGACTTCACTGACTTTATAGGTTTTTTGTATTGAGTTAAGATAAATCTATAAAAATCAGGAAAAATAGTGGTAACATCATATTTTTGACGAAGGAGGTAAACCCAGGTGGCTATAGTGCAATCATCAACAATAGTAAGAAAATATTTGTATCTTTCAATAGTGTTGTCGGCAAAAGGGCCCCATATGTCAATGTGAATTAAATCAAAGAGTTTTGGAGACAAATTATTATGTGATATGAAAGATAATTTTCTTTGTTCAGCAATAGGATAAATAGGGCAGTGAAAAGGAGCATTCATCTGAACAACTAGAATATATAAATCTTTATTTAAATGTTGAAGTTTTATAAAAGACGGATGACCCAATCTAAAGTGCCATAGGCTACATTTAGAATCAACAGACTCGGAAACAACGGAATTACAAACAAATTTATTTGTAAGGAAATGATAAAGGTTCCCAACTCGTTTACCCCTCCCAATCAACAAGCCCTGAGTAAGGTCTTGAACGTCACACATGAATCAAGTGAGAAATTAACTGTGCAATTGTGAGTGGAAGTGAGCTTGCTAACGCTTATGAGATTAAAAGTAAATGTGGGAATAAATAGCACATCAACCAATATAAGAGAAGTTGTCAAAATAATATTTCCTACTTGATTGACTATCACTGAGCTACTGTTTGGCAAATTAACAGGGAAAGGTTCAACATACTTAAGTTTTGTGAATAAATGGTGGTGGCAGCAAGTGTGGTGGGTGGCTCCAGTGTCAAGAATCCATATGTGGGTGTTGGGTAAGTGTGTAAATAGAGATAAACAGAAGGAAGAGGTAAGTATACCTGAGATGGGGGAAACAGACGGTGCAGTTGAGTCAGAGCCGGAGACAAAATCCAGAGGCATGGAGGCAGAAGGCGTAACATGGAGACACGTGCTTAAATGGGCAATAATATCCTGAATTTGATCTATGGTGAGAGACATAACAGAAACGGCGGAGCTGGAGGTGGCAGACGGCATGCCGATGAAACCAGTGGGAGCAACAGTGGAGGAGACACGCGGAGAAGAAGAAGATTGTAACTCAATGGGTTTTAGTGAAGACCCGGTTTATGAAGACCCGGTTTGTGAAGGCCTAGTTTGTGAAGACCTAGTTTGTAAAAATCCACGCTGTTGGGCTTTAGTGGTAGCAGATGGGCCGAATGTGCCTTTGGATTTGGACCAATAGCCAGGTGAGTACCCATGTAGTTTATAACATCGATCCACTACATAGCTTAGAAGCCCACAATGGGTACACGTGGGCCTTCTTCTTCCTCCCTGTGCTAGGGAAACATTGGCAGATTCCATCGCGCCGCTGAATGCCTCTGTTCCAACGGCCTTTCCGACAACCTGATGTCTCTCCTCCTGAATCACGAGACTGAAGACTTTCGAGATGGAAGGAGGTGTTTCCATCATGAGGATTTGGCTTCGTATGGACGTGTAGAAATCTTTGAGTCCCATTAAGAAGAGCATGACGAATTCCTGCTCCATATAATCATTCCAGGCTTTCATTCCTCCATAACGGCATACCAGAGCAGGCTGGTAAGTTTTAAGTTCGTCCCATAACGTTTTTATTCTCATATAGTAGCCATTAACATTGAGGGCCCCTTGCACTGGTAAGTTTTAAGTTCGTCCCATAACGTTTTTATTCTCGTATAGTAGCCATTAACATTGAGGGCCCCTTGCACCGAGTTGTTTATCATTTGTTTCAGCTGAAAAATGCGAAAGGCGTTGCTTTGTTAGAACCGGTCATGGGGGTTGACCCACACTGCCCGCATGCTATCAAGGTAGAGGAGACTGTCTACTATATGTTTTGCCATGACGTTGAGAAGTCGGGAGAGAACCATGTTGTTGCAGCGGAACCACGCCCCTGCCATAGGATCTGTCTCAGTCGGTTGAGCAATAAATCCATCCACGAAGCCAAATTTGTTTTTGGCGTTCAAAGCGACGCGCATCGTGGGCGACTAAGTATTGTAGTTGTTCTCATTCAATGTGTGAGAGACCAACATAAGCCCAGGATGATCTGAGCTATGAAGAAAAAATGGGTTATGGATTTCATCTGAATGGGTGTTTTGTGAGATTTGGATAGTCTGTGAATTTTGGATTGAAGGTGCCACCAACGGCTGAAATCAATTCTGTGATGAGGAGCCACCACCACCTCTGGCCATAGTAGCTTAATGAGGTGCAGCGGAAATGGTAAGAGCTTACAGCTCTGATACCATATTAGAAAAGGAAACAAACAATAGATTTAGAGAAGAAAAAATTCTCTTAATTTTTCTGCGTATTAATATTTGAATGTATGCTATTTATATACAAGTAAAGGGCTAAACTAGAGAATTTACATGTTGTTAGTTATAATAGAAAAATGATAACAAAATTGATAACAGAAAAAACAAATAATTAATTCTAATACAATCCTAAAAAATAAGTAGCCATTCAACAAAAGTTGTCCCACACTTAGCAAACTTAAGTCCAAATTATGAATATACAACACATTTTGAATACAATTCAAGCCAAGAGAGTTCATCATAATTGTATTTTTCTTTGTGTTATGTTTAACATTTCATCAACCATAGTAATCTGGCTAGTAACTGGCTTATCGAGCGTGGTAAAAAGTTTCAAATCACTTGTCACGATGACTACAACCACTATCAATGTACTGAACATCTGGAGAATGTTTTTGTGGTTGGAAAGCATGCAAGGAAAAGATTTTCAGTCTCATCCTCCTCTTTCTCTTGAGCTAAGTTGGCTTGTTTATCCTCAAACCTGCAAAATCTCTCAATGTGTCCATACTTCTTGCAGTAATAACATTATTTTCAGTTCCTATTTTCACCACCATCATTGTTTCTTGGCTGCTGGTTATACCCATTTGATCGACTGCCACTTTCTCCTTTTTTCCCACGCAAGTTATGTCGACGCCAGTTGTTAGGGATGTTTTTGTTACTTGATTCATTAGCACCTTTTCCACCTTCTGACAACTGCATCTTGCTGTAAAAAGCATTCTCAATAGAAATATTATCATATCTCTTCATCTTAACTTCGTGATAATAAAGAGAATCCTGCAGCTCATCAATGGTTAGTACCCTCAAGACCCTTGACTCTTCAATTGCAGCTACAACATAATCATATTTCTTAGGTGAACTCCTAATACTTTTTTCAACAATCTTTTGCTGACTCAAGGTTTCGCCATATTTCTTAACTTGATTAACAACATCAAGTAATTAGGAAATATATTCCAAACAAACATCTTTCATTAGTGAGCTTTCAAATTTTTTACAAAGAGTTTGCAGTTTGATAGTTACCACTTTTTTTGTGCTTTGATGGACTTTGTATGAAGTATCTCAATCTTCTTTTGCCTTTTTTGCAACAGCTATATAAGGAAAAATTGCATCATCCACAACTTGTTGGATGAAAAGCAAGGCATTGACATCTTTCTTTCGAAGATCTCTAACATTATCAGCTGTCTCTCCATCTTTGTTACAACCATTCTCCACTAAATCTCATAAATGTTGAGAAATAAACAGAGTTTTCATTTTGGTCCTCCATACACCACATTTGCTGCATTGAAAAATCGAAATTAATGGTTGTGTGAGGTTTCCTCCAGCATGATAGTGGGCCATCTGGAAGTGTCAACCTGACGCTGATAACAAATATTAAGAACAAGGGTTGTTAGAATAAAATAATAGAGAACAAAGAATAGGACTGCTGGAAAATAAATTTTATGAGGACTTTTGTCAAACACTTTTGTATGCAGAGAAAATAAACAGAAAAACATGTGCGTATTCAACCATGAACCAGCCTTAAATACATAATCTTTGACCAACAACCAGAGAAGAACACTCCACTAACATATCCGCAATCTCTAAAAATGTTCCACTAATGTATCAACGATCTCTAATTGTTCTCCTAAAAATAAGAAACTATAAACCCACTAAACAACCAACTAATTGACAATGAAAAATATGTAAAAGAAAATGAATTTTCTACATTAAGTCTCTAACAATAATATTAAGAACAAATTTACCTCTTAGCCGAGTGGGAATAGGTAGGGATGAGCTTTCAAGACCGCAACAACTACGACTTTTTCACAGACGACCTTTGATGTTGGTACGACGACTTTCAGCAGGGGCCACAGCAGCGGTGAGAGGACAGACACAGACACACACAAGTTATGAAGAAAATTCCAGCTTCGACTTACACAAGGGAGATGGTACGCTGGAAAACAAAATTTGAAATGGTTTTGCCAGCACAAAAAAGGGACACGTTTGGGGCGCTGATTTTTTTTTTTTTTGTTTTTGTTTACTTGCTGTCCACATAGTGGTTTTTTTTACCGTCTGCATGAGACTAACGGTGTTAATTTTGGATAAACTAATAGAAAAATATAAGACAAAGTTTTTGAAGTATTTATCATCCCTGTTGGAGCAGAGTGAAATTATTTTTAATCAATCAAAAGTTGTTATATAAACGGTGGTGTTAAGTTAAAAAGTATATAAGTCGAGTGTTTGCTTTTGATACTAAAATTACTGAAGCAAGTATATAATAATTAATTTGGAAAAATGATTTTGTATAATAATAATATTGGAAAACAAAAATTAATTTGAGTTTTTAAATTCTACGTGGGCAGGTGGCGTTATTATTTGCAAAATAAATACACCTACAACCAATCATCATCAATCGGACAAATCCATGCGTACACAAAATATATGGGTTGTGGGTGTCAAATTAAGGATTTGATTTTAGAATTATGTAATTCCTCTATCCAATCATAGGAGGCCAAAATCGCTGCAAGCTCAACATTATCTTTTTTCCTTGACAAGTCAATTTGTACAAGCAAACAACTAAAAGAAAAATTAGTTTTAATTAATTACATTATTATCTTTAATTCTCTTTAAAATAGCATCATTAATTATTTACATTTATGTATATGTTTTTTTTTTCATAAAAGATAATTAGAATTATGGTTTGCCAATTACGTTATGATGATAATAGTAGATGATTGATCCAACGGACGCCATCACCCATACTGATGACCTCATGTCATTGTATGTATAATAAAACTAGGCTACTACTCCCGGATTCATGTTTAGTATTCCAATGAATATGGGAAGCAGCAGCAGCAGCAGCAGCAGCAGAGCCAACCAAGTGAGGTATACGGTTTGTTTTAACGGCTGGGAATCTCTCCGGCGGACGGCGTTGAGCCGGGCGTTTGGGGTTGTTTACGCGTGTGGGATTGTAGCTTTGTTTTATCACCATGTTCAAACCCTTGTTGCCTCAAAAACTACACTCTCCTCCTCCGTCGCCGTATCTTTGTTCGTCTCTGATCTTATTCTGGCTTTCCTATGGGTAACATCGCAGTTGTTTTACGTTAATTTGATCCGTCGTTTTGAGTTCCCAGAAAATCTGAAAAAGGTGGTGAAAACATGTGATTTTCCAGCACTGGATGTGTTCGTATGCACCGCCGATCCGTACAAGGAACCACCGATGATCGTCGTGAATACTGCCTTGTCAGTGATGGCTTATGAATATCCGACGGACAAGATTTCGGTCTACGTGTCGGACGATGGAGGATCGGCGTTGACTCTGTTTGCTCTCGTGGAGGCTGCAAAGTTTGCGACTCACTGGTTACCGTTTTGCAGGGAAAACAGTTTAATGGATAGATGCCCAGAAGCTTATTTTGCATCTAATCCTTCTGGGAACCAAAATATTAAGGTTAGTACGTAAATGTTTTTCTAAGCCTTGAGATTGAAAATTAATTTTAATTTCCTTATGAATTCAATAACTATAGTTACAAATTATCATATGTATACACTTGCTTTAAATTTTTTTTGAATGAAAACCAGAAAATATTAATAATTTTGAACAAACAACTGACGAGTCCTTATCCGCAACATATTCTGGATAGTTGTGCAGTAAATATATTTTACTTTTATTCATAAAGTTTGATTGCTTTTTCCAATTTCCATTTTAATTTTAATTTTACTATATCACTCGATGAGGACACACAATCATATATCCACCTTACCGAATTTTAGTATTACAAATGGTAGCTCATGTCATAAAGATATATTCCTGTTGACCAACTGAATTTATTATATTATTAATTAATTATGATATTTTGTATTATATTTAACTAAAAATTTTGTTAAGGTGGTAAACAAAATGTTGTTCCAAACTGCAAAATTAAGTACAATTAATATTAAATAATAAAATACTTAACTAGTATAATATTATAATTGAAGATGATGTACGAGAAGATGAAAAAGAAAATTGAAGATGTTGTCGAGAGAGGAGAAGTGGGAAACGACGTCGTCCAACAACTTGAAGCTTTGAAGCAATGGACGGATGAGTTTAACCCCGGCAATCACCCACCCGTGATTCAGGTAAATTTCAATTATTTTAGTATTAAGTCAGTAATTATTATTTAATATTTTATATTGAGCAGGTATTATTAGATAACAACAACGACAGAGACGTAAGTGGCTGTCTTCTTCCCACTTTAACCTATGTCTGTAGACAGAAGAAGACGAGCTTTCCTCATCATTTCAAAGCCGGTGCTCTTAATACCTTGGTATCCCTACTTTTTAATTAAATATTTTATTACTCAAACAAATTAATTTCTTCTATACTAACTAATTTTTCTTTTCTTTGTTGGAAAATAATCAAGCTTCGGGTATCAGCAAGCATGAGCAATGCGCCCATTATCCTAACCTTGGATTGTGACATGTACTCCAATGATCCACACACCCCAATTCGTGCATTGTGTTACCTGTTAGATCCCAACATGAATTCCAATTTGGCCTATGTCCAATTCCCTCAAATATTTCCAAAACTCAACCCAGATGACATTTATGCTTGCGAGTTTAAACGATTATTTCAAATTAATCCCATGGGCTTTAACAACTCAATTGGCCCTAATTATGTTGGGACTGGCTGCTTTTTCAACCGACGAGCCTTCTTTAGTACCCCATCAAGCTTTCTCTCCCCCTCCCCCGAACTCCCTCACCTTCACCCAACCCACGTTCTGGACAAGCCCATCAAGGCCGACGAAATCTTAGCTCGAGCGCTTCTTGTTGCAGCTTGCGATTATGAGACTGATACCCAATGGGGCTATCAGGTAAAAACCTTGTAATCAAATTATTCTTTTGAGGAAAAAAAAAATATATATATATATATATATTTCTTCTCTTGAGCCACATGTACTGTTAATATGCTGTGCAGATTGGATTTAGATATGGGTCCCTGGTTGAAGACTTCTATACAGGCTATAGAATGCAGTGTGAGGGATGGAGGTCTGTGTTCTGCAATCCAAAAACGGCAGCGTTTCATGGGGATGCCCCAATTACTCTGGTTGATGCTTTAAGTCAAACCAAGAGATGGGCTTTTGGTCTCCTTCAAGTGGGGTTTTGTAAGTATAGTCCCCTAACCTTTGGTATCAGGAAAATGGGCCTGCTAATGGGCCTTTGCTACTCGCACTATACATTCTGGCCCCTTTGGGCTATTCCTCTTACGGTATACGCATTCCTCCCTCCCCTCGCTCTTCTCAACGGACTCCCTATTTTCCCAAAGGTATTTTACAATTATCGAATTCATTTGTAAACTTATATTTAACAAATTTAATCATTTTTCTTCTAAATTGAATGAAGGTACTGGAAATATGGTTCGCCCTTTACGTGCTACTTTTTGTTGGGGCGTATGCACAAGATTTCATGGAGTCTGCTTTGGAAGGAGGAAGTTTCCGAAGATGGTGGAATGAACAGAGAATGTGGATGATTAGAGGAGTCTCATGCTGGTTATTTGGGCTCGCTGAGTTCACTCTTAAATCTTTTGGCATCTTTAAACACGGGTTCAGCTTGACCCACAAGCTGCTTCATTCTGACCAAGTGAAAAAGTATGACGAACAGATTTTCGATCTGGGAATCTCATCGCCATTGTTTGTGCCACTGACAACTGCAGCAATCATCAACTTGTTTGCTTTTATCATAGGGTTCATACGACTGAGTTTTTTAAATGAAGAACTGGTTATGCAGATGTTGACAACAGGTTTTGTTGTAATCAACTGCTTACCAATTTACAGTGCTGTAGTTTTTTGGAGTGATAAAGGCGCCAAAATCTCTACCAACACTATTCTTCTGGCAACATTTCTTGCTTCTGCTCTCTCTGCGATTTCTTCTCTCTTTCTCAACTAATCTTCACTGTTAATCATTTGTTGTATCTAAACCATGCTTTAAGTTGTATGTATTACAAAGATTTTGCGTTCAATGAAAAAATAATTCAGACGGATATTATAGCTACGTATATGCCAATAATCTCTATGCAATATTCTTTTTCTCTTACTAATTAATAGGTAGTGATCAAGAAGAATCGACTTTTATCAACTACACCAAAAATTTTGCTGAGATAACATCTATCTCAGAACTATACTCTTTATATTTGCCCATGATTAGTTAGATTCACCAGCTGGTTGACGATTCCAAGAGCACGGTATATTGGTGTAAAGCCTGTAACCATATCGGTATAAAGCCGATAATCAATGATGAGGCAAACATGAATTCCCAGTTGATGAGCTTTGAACAAGTTTGCTTACTTGTTGTTGAGTATAATTAATCAAGCAGTACTGGTTAATTCTTGGTTTTGGTTGACTGAAAGATTGAGTTGGTGGAGATGGGAGTTTGTGGTTGGATTGAGAAGCTTGGTAGTGGGGATAATGGAGGATCTGCAGAGAGGGCAAGTTGAATTTGTATGCAGCCAGTGGTGTATGCATTCGGCATGAAACACATGTTTGCATAATGGCGCCTGAAGCAACTCCTCATTCATTTCAAATTCTCCCAGACAAACACAACATCTGCAAAAAAATTTAATTCAAATTGTTATTAGGGGGATAAAAAATTGAATGTTAGAGCGAGTTAAAAAATGTTCATTTAAAGTTTTTAAGTATGAGTAGAGATAGTGTTAGAATACAAATAATTAGTTAGATCATTTTCTATTGTTTAGGTTTTTAAAATAATTGGTTTTAACATGATATAAGAATTTGATATCTAGTATTTAAATCTTGATAACATGTGGGTTTGTGGCTTAATTTATGTTTTTAGCTTAGCTTGATGGGTTTAAACATGTATAAATAATTGATACTTTGGTACTTATAGTTTTACCTTTCAAAAAAATATCATGTGCCTAATTTCATCTTGGTCTATCTAATAAAAAGCCACTTTAAAAGAAAACAATTAATGGATGTTAATTGAGATTCTTAAGTGGTGTAGTTGAAACGGGAATAATTTCTTTTTCTTTCTTTTTGGTCCGAAAGAAAGATGGCATAACTAAATTCACCCAATATATCACTGCATGAGCACTTAATGGAAAAGTGAGTACTGATCAATTCATGGATGTCTCATGTGATGCATAACTGTATAACACCATGCGCCCACATGGTGTAGGGCATGATCATCACATGCCCTTTAATATTTCTCAACATCATGCCATATCTAACTTGGTTCATATGTATATTTGCAACATTTTTTTTTTTTTTTTTTTTTTTTCATAAAAGAAATACATGTACTTACTGTGAATCCCTTGTTCTTAATTCTTCATCAAATAAAACAATTGGAAGCTTGTTCTTGAGCTCCCCTTTAACTCCCATCTTACAACCCTATAAAATCAAAATAAGTTTTTGTCAGATGTATGTACATATACGTATATGTGCTTGCATGGAGAGAGAGAGAGAGAGAGAGAGAAGTTACCGAATGGATATAAGGAGGAGGCTGGCGGGAATTTATGGGAAGAGAGTGTGGAGGGGATGAAAGAGTTGAAGCTCTTCTCTTGAGGTAAAACAGATAGAACAACAAAAAGAGAATGATTGAAAAAAGGATTGGAATTGAAAAGATGAATGCCTGATACAGTTTTAGTTGAAGAGCTTGAGGATAAAGGTGAGGAGGGTTTGGACTCTGGGGAACACCCATCTCTTTTCTTCTCTTCTTCTTCTTCTTCTTCTTCTTCTTCTTCTTCTTCTTCTTCTTCTTCTTCTTCTTCTTCTTCTTCTTC